ATATATATATATATATATATATATATATATTCAAATTAGACCAATCTATGTTTTATGTAACTGAATTGAAGAAGTTATGTCCAGTCTTAAAGAAAAAAATTACATGACATAGCTATTTGTAAGACTATAGTCTAAACATTTTATGTAACTGGCCACAGAACAGGTCCACAACTTGTTTATTCTCATTTTGAACAAAGTATCTATTGCTGATGAATTGTGTGTTTGTACTACAGTATATTTTTTACATTGTGGGGACCAGCCTGCGGTCCTCACGAGAGAAAACAAATGATTAAAAATAATAAATGATGTTTATCTGGAAGTGTAACAATGCAAACAGGTTTTCTGTAAGGGGTAGGTTTAGGGTTGGGTTAGGGGGTAGAAAATATTGTTTGGTCAGTATAAAAGTAATAGACATCTATGGAAAGTCCCCACAATTCACAGAAACAAACGTGTGTGTGTGTAGTAAACAAGAGAGACAATATAACCAGTTACTTTTAAATGTCTGGGAATGTTTTTTGTGTTTTCTTTGGCTGAAAGATCACTCTAAATCCCTCTCACACAAGTGAGCGTAGAGCAAGGATGGAAAAAATCTGAGGTGAAGCTGAAGCAGAGTGATTACAGAACTCTATGAGCGGAGAGGGGAACTCCACTCCCACACTTTGGCTTCTATTGGAAATATTTCCGTGAGCAGAGAAAAAATGTACCAGCTAACTGGCCAAATTTTGTCTGAAAGTGAGTCACTCGATATTGATTTCCTATTTATTGAACTGTTGTGTAAAAGCAATATCACACTCACTAACATGCTGTTTTACAGAGAAATATATTAAGTACAACAGCATTCATGTAATATAATATAATATAATAACAAAATATCAAATAAAATGTTCCTATTTCAAATAAATACTGTTTGTTTGAACATTGCAATTTTCAAAGTGTCCTTAAAATGTATCATGGTTTATAATATAATATAATATAATATAATATAATATAATATAATATAATATAATATAATATAATATAATATAATATAATATAATATAATATAATATAATATAATATAATATAATATAATATAATATAATATAATATAATATAATATAATATAATATAATATAATATAATA